CCTTCTTACCTGCATCCTTACCCTCTTACCTGTGACCTTACCTTCTTACCTGCATCCTTACCCTCTTACCTGTGACCTTACCCTCTTACCTGCATCCTTACCCTCTTACCTGTGACCTTACCTTCTTACCTGCATCCTTACCCTCTTACCTGTGGCCTTACCTTCTTAACTGTGTCGCCACATCAGGTATTTTATTGCCCATTGGCTGTTATTGTGTTGTGTAGTGCTTGTAATCGGTTTATTGCCTACATTACTGTGGTATTCGAAGTTTTCTCTTAGCTGATATTTTGTGCACAATACATTATGCTTCTGTGCTCACTCTTGGCTAAGTTTATGTTCAGCTTTAAAATGTAAAATGAATTAGTAGAAGCCTAGCCTACCTAAGGTAGCTTAATCCCAGTCAAATACTGTGGGATTGTAACGCCGGGAGAGTACACCCATGACTCACCATGGGAACGTCCTGGTATGATCAGCCTGGGACCTCAGATTCAGCTAGAGGTAATTGAAATATCATCTGGCTCCCCCCCCCTAGTCAGCTTATTCCTCTTTATGTATAATACTGATGGTCTTGACAAACAATTTAGTTTATATGTATAGTGGTGTTACAGGATAAGGGGTATATACACAGAGAGGGATACCTCATTTGTCAGTGTGTAAATGCTGAGAGTTTACTTTTGTTCTGGACTATATTGAGGACTAAAGTTTACTTCCTGGTTACTTAGTAAATCTATTGTGGTGGCCTTAACCCTTGAAGAGGTTGATAGGCCTTAACCATATATAGCTCTTGAAATAGCACTTTCTCTGTAACTAACATTGTAACTATAAGGTGTGAAGGATAGATGAAACTGTTTATGTAATAATCTAAGATGAGGTCTGATAAAGACTTTTTGTGCCCTCTGTAATGCTTTTTGGCGCTACCGCTCACAGGATGAGTATGGGGTGCACAATAAACTAGCCTCCTCCGGTGGCAACAATCAAACCCCAATGCTAACTTGCTGGTTGGTCAGTAGGGTAGTTTGGTGCTCCCTCCAGTGGTTAACAGGACTTGACCCTAAATTTAAACGTTACTTAAGATGAGGGAGGGAGGGGGGGGGGGTGAAGTCGTTGTCAGGCGGAGACATGTAACTACCCGCCAAACACACACCGAAACTACGACGTTTGTACAACGTTCGAACAAGTTTTAACACCTAACAAGTTATAACAACCAATATAGCAAGTTGTAACAACGTTCTAATACGTTATAAACACGTTAAGCCAAGATGTAACAACTTTATTACAAGTTGTAACAAGCGGAAAATAGAGACAGTTTCGGTTTGTGTTTCCAGGGTAAGAACTTTAATGCACTAAGGACAAATTTGCTCTCAAAGTTTCCCCTGGAAGCTTCGTGGGAACTTTAGTTTTAGCAAGTTAAGAACCCTTTGCGAGCCGCGTTTCCAGGTCTGGAAAAATACCAGAGAAAAGTTTGGGCAAAAAGGCGAGATTAAAACAGGGAGACGATGACTGCATTTCTTTGTGTCAAGAGTTTTTTTTGCTTGTACTTGTTGAAAGGCAGGGAGGGGCCGAGTGTGTTTGTGAGAGGCTGCGTTCTTGTTTGAGCGGCAGAGTGGGTGTGTGTCCTTGCTGATTGTGTTTGTGGGGGTCTGTGATCTTCCCTCAGGGGAGCTGGTCGGCCGAGCGGACAGCACGCTGGACTTGTGATCCTGTGGTCCCGGGTTCGATCCCGGGCGCCGGCGAGAAACAATGGGCAGAGTTTCTCTCACCCTATACCCCTGTTACCTAGCAGTAAAATAGGTAACTTTATCAAACTTTAAATCTTTTGTATAGCATAATATTTAGCTTATAATTTGAATCAGACGTAATGGAGGTGTGGAGCTGCTAGCTGCTCCAAGCAACAGACTCATAGATCAAATCATCACACGTCAAGCCTAGCATCAGGCCAGACTCGGATTAAAATAACTCACAGAACCCACTTCAGGTATGCAGGCGATGAGTCACAATAACGTGGCTGAAGTATGTTGACCAGACCACACAATAGAAGGTGAAGGGACGACGACGTTTTGGTCCGTCCTGGACCATTCTCAAGTCGAGTGAGAATCGACTTGAGAATGGTCCAGGACGGACCGAAACGTCGTCGTCCCTTCACCTTCTAGTGTGTGGTCTGGTCCACTCCAGGTAATTTCCTTGTCATTCCCTGTAAAAGCTTAGCGGGCCAGCCAGGGACTTAAGGCCCGCGAAGGAATATCCCAGTTCAAAAAAAAACATGAAACAAATCACATAAAAAGAATGTGAGTGACAATGGTGTGTGATTTAGTGGCTCTTGCCTGCCCCAGTTCTTGAATATTGGCACCACGTTGGCCGACGTCCGTGTCATAGGGCTGAAGTATCTATGGAGGTGTTGGAGATCAGTGCCAGAGGTTTGCTTAGGATTTCCGCGACCTCCTTTAGGATCCCGGGGGAAATTATATCCGATTATGATTATTGTGTATCGTTCAACTCCTTGTTTTGATTCCTCTGATGCCTCTTTAAGTGTTTCTAATTCTGTTTGATAATGTCACACTTGTACTTTGATAGTTACTCTGTGTGAGTTTGTGAGAGTGCGAGTCAGTCAGTCTCTCTCTCTCTCTCTCTCTCTCTCTCTCTCTCTCTCTCTCTCTCTCTCTCTCTCTCTCTCTCTCTCTCTCTCTCTCTCTCTCTCTCTCTCCCTCCCTCCCTCCCCTTCTCTCCTTCTCTCCTCTCCTTCATGTGTGTGGGCATGAGGGCGGTGGTGGCCCAGCTCTCGCCACCCGGATATAGCCGGTGTGGCAGTACAGCCGGCCCCGCCTGACCCAGTATCTGCCCCCCAGCACTCACCTGTGGACCCTCCTAGTTGTGCTTCCACGACTCACCTTTAGTTCTTGGACCCCGCCTGTCTGACCGCCTGTCTAATGCAATCATTCCTGACCTGTTCCTCTTATCATATCTACTTGTGAAATTATGAAATGAGGCTCTCTTTTCCACTATGTCAATCTTCATAAGTATTTTATGTCTCTATCATGTCTCCTCTATTACTCTCTCTCTCTCTCCCCACTTTCTCTAGCGTTATCAGGTCTAGTTCAAAGAAGTGCGTTCTGGCTACTAGGTACGACATATATATATATATATATATATATATATATATATATATATATATATATATATATATATATATATATATATATATATATATATATATATATATATATATATATATATATATATATATATATATATATATATATATATATATATATTCTTGTTGTGTGCGTGTGTATACTCACCTAGATGTACTTGCATGGTCGAGCTACGACTCCTAGCCCCTGCCTTTCCAACATTACTCCAGAAGAAAATTAAAAATCCAGTCTTAAGAAATTTATTGTTGACATCTGTGACTCACTTGTGTGTCTAGCTTCCATCCTCTGTCCCTCGGTCGGCTATACATAGTTTGAAACAATGTTTGTCTACTTTGTGACATCTCTCACTGTGACTCTGTTTTCCGTTGCTTAGGTACTCCCTTATCCACCATGTGATCACAGGGACGAGTGCGTGGAGTCTGTGCGTTCACAGTTAATGTGTACATGTGTACACAGTAATTACCTAAGTGTAGATACAGGATGAGAGCTACGCTCGTGGTGTCCCGTCTTCCCAGCACTCTTTGTCATATAACGCTTTGAAACTACTGACGGTCTTGGCCTCCACCACCTTCTCACCTAACTTGTTCCGACCGTCTACCACACAGTGTATACCTGAGCGTGTTGACAGTTTAAGATAGTGTGTGTGTGTGTGTGTGTGTGTGTGTGTGTGTGTGTGTGTGTGTGTGTGTGTGTGTGTGTGTGTGTGTGTGTGTGAACTCACCTATCTGGACTCGCCTATTTGCGCCTGCGGGATCGAACTCCAGCTCTTGGACCCCCACTATTCTAGCTGTTGCTTGCCTAATGCAATGACTCCTGACCCTGTCTTACCTGCTTTTAAAGTTATGAATGGAGTTTGCCTCTACAACCTGCTCCTATAGGTCATTCCATTTACTCACTGCCCTCACGCTAAAGGAAAACTTTCTGACTTTCCCTATGACATATCTGAATCTCAGGCTTCCATCCGTACCCCCCCCCCCCCAACCCAACCACTTGGGCTGGACGGTAGAGCGACGGTTTTGCTTCATGCAGGTCGGCGATCAATCCCCGACCGTCCACAAGTGGTTGGGCACCATTTCTTTCCCTCCGACCCATCCCAAATCCTTAACCTGACCCCTTCCCAGTGCTATATAGTCGTAATGGCTTGGCGCTTTCTCCCTGATAGTTCCTTCCTTCCTTCCGTACCCCCCCCCCCCTCTGTTCTGTTCATATTCATTGCGTATTCAGCAATTGTGTTTGCGGGGGGTTGAGCTCTGCTCTTTCGGCCCGCCTCTCAACTGTCAATCAACTGTTACTAACTACTATTATTTTTTTTCACACACATCCCCAGGAAGCGGCCCGTAACCGCTGTCTAATTCCCAGGTGCCTATTTACTGCTAGGTAACAGGGGCATGAGGGTGAAAGAAACTGCCCATTTTTGTTCATAGTCGGCGCCGGGAATCGAACCCGAGCCAAAGGATTACGTGTCCAGCGTGCTATCCAGACAGCCACCGGCGCCCTTGCGCGCGTGTGTGTATGTGTGTGTGTGTGCGTGCGTGTGTGCGTGTGTGTGTGTGTGTGTGTGAGTGTGTGTACTCACCTAGTTGTGTTTGCGGGGGTTGAGCTCTGGCTCTTTGGTCCCGCCTCTCAACCGTCAATCAACAGGCAGCGTGTGTGTGTGTGCGTGCGTGTGCGTGCGTGCGCGTGCGTGCGTGCGTGCGTGCGTTCCCAAAAGGTCCCAGTTACGGTCCACAGTCCCTGGAGCTACAATCGTGATACGACCATTAGACTCCGGTTATGTAAATGAGATTGTTGTCAAGGCTGGTCCACCAGTACCAAGTAGCCCGGGACCTGGTCCACCAGTACCAAGTATCCATGGACCTGGTCCACCAGTACCAAGTATCCACGGACCTGGTCCACCAGTACCAAGTAGCCCGGGACCTGGTCCACCAGTACCAAGTATCCATGGACCTGGTCCACCAGTACCAAGTATCCACGGACATGGTCCACCAGTACCAAGTAGCCCGGGACCTGGTCCACCAGTACCAAGTAGCCCGGGACCTGGTCCACCAGTACCAAGTAGCCCGGGACCTGGTCCACCAGTACCAAGTAGCCCGGGACCTGGTCCACCAGTACCAAGTAGCCCGGGACCTGGTCCACCAGTACCAAGTAGCCACGGACCTGGTCCACCAGTACCAAGTTGCCACGGACCTGGTCCACCAGTACCAAGTAACCACGGACCTGGTCCACCAGTACCAAGTATCCATGGACCTGGTCCACCAGTACCAAGTAGCCACGGACCTGGTCCACCAGTACCAAGTAGCCCGGGACCTGGTCCACCAGTACCAAGTAGCCCGGGACCTGGTCCACCAGTACCAAGTAGCCCGGGACCTGGTCCACCAGTACCAAGTAGCCATGGACCTGGTCCACCAGTACCAAGTAGCCCGGGACCTGATCCACCAGTACCAAGTATCCATGGACCTGGTCCACCAGTACCAAGTATCCATGGACCTGGTCCACCAGTACCAAGTAGCCCGGGACCTGGTCCACCAGTACCAAGTAGCCCGGGACCTGGTCCACCAGTACCAAGTATCCATGGACCTGGTCCACCAGTACCAAGTAACCATGGACCTGGTCCACCAGTACCAAGTATCCATGGACCTGGTCCACCAGTACCAAGTATCCATGGACCTGGTCCACCAGTACCAAGTAGCCATGGACCTGGTCCACCAGTACCAAGTAACCCGGGACCTGGTCCACCAGTACCAAGTATCCATGGACCTGGTCCACCAGTACCAAGTATCCACGGACCTGGTCCACCAGTACCAAGTAACCATGGACGTGGTCCACCAGTACCAAGTAACCCGGGACCTGGTCCACCAGTACCAAGTAACCATGGACCTGGTCCACCAGTACCAAGTATCCACGGACCTGGTCCACCAGTACCAAGTAACCATGGACCTGGTCCACCAGTACCAAGTAACCCGGGACCTGGTCCACCAGTACCAAGTAACCCGGGACCTGGTCCACCAGTACCAAGTAGCCCGGGACCTGGTCCACCAGTACCAAGTAGCCATGGACCTGGTCCACCAGTACCAAGTAGCCCGGGACCTGGTCCACCAGTACCAAGTAGCCACGGACCTGGTCCACCAGTACCAAGTAGCCATGGACCTGGTCCACCAGTACCAAGTAGCCCGGGACCTGGTCCACCAGTACCAAGTAACCATGGACCTGGTCCACCAGTACCAAGTAGCCCGGGACCTGGTCCACCAGTACTAAGTAGCTATGGACCTGATCCACCAGTACCAAGTAGCCATGGACCTGGTCCACCAGTACCAAGTAGCCCGGGACCTGGTCCACCAGTACCAAGTAACCATGGACCTGGTCCACCAGTACCAAGTAGCCATGGACCTGGTCCACCAGTACCAAGTAACCCGGGACCTGGTCCACCAGTACCAAGTAACCATGGACCTGGTCCACCAGTACCAAGTAACCACGGACCTGGTCTACCTTTTGCTGTCTATCGCCCGTAGCCTCGAGGCTACGATGTGGGCGTATAGATATTAATAGATATGTAATATACCAGTCATCTCAGGTGCCTTACAGGCGAGGCTGGGGGTTGAATTCCTACGCACCCCCCCTCCCTCCCCTCCCCCCTCTTGGCTTCTACAACCCCCCCACCCCTCCATCCCCCCCTCGATGTATACAACACAAACTGTATCCTCTGTATGTTCCGGTGTATTCTGTGGAAGCTTTTCAAGCAGGTCAAACAGCGTGGAATTCAACCTCTCTCTCTCTCCGGGTCGACGAGATTAAGAATACACAGGGAATAGTGTAGATGCCAGCCAGCACCTGTCGAGGATGATGTAGTGTCAAGTTGGGTCGTATCAAGTTAGGTCCTCCGACGTAACTGAGGTCAGGTTAGGTCGTCCGACGTAACTGAGGTCAGGTTAGGTCGTCCGACGTAACTGAGGTCAGGTTAGGTCGTCCGACGTAACTAGGTCAGGTTAGGTCGTCCGACGTAACTGAGGTCAGGTTAGGTCGTCCGACGTAACTGAGGTCAGGTTAGGTCGTCCGACGTAACTGAGGTCAGGTTAGGTCGTCCGACGTAACTGAGGTCAGGTTAGGTCGTCCGACGTAACTGAGGTCAGGTTAGGTCGTCCGACGTAACTGAGGTCAGGTTAGGTCGTCCGACGTAACTGAGGTCAGGTTAGGTCGTCCGACGTAACTAAGGTCAGGTTAGGTCGTGTCAAGGCAGGTTATATTCTAGGGTACATTTGGCTAGGTCGCGACAGATCATATAATGGAAAATCTCGTGGTAGGGGGCAACACACGTGGCCCAAAGTCAGGTCAGATCACGTTAGAGAAGACATGCGTAAATTAGATCCAACATAATAGCTTGCTGGTCTCGGGTTCTCTATAGATAAGTACCAGATATGTGACTGTGTATACATGACCATATATGTGACTGTGTATACATGACCATATATGTGACTGTGTATACATGTGGCGCCTAATAGAGAGCTGTTGGTAAATCTTACGAGTGTGTGACGTCAAGACTTGAGACTGTCAAGAGGCTGTCAAGAGGCTGTCAAGAGGCTGAACCACTTTTGTTGTCAAGTTTATTGTTGGTCCAGTTGGTAATATATGTTGACACACACATGGCCTATGTTGGCACAAACATGGTCTATGTTGACACACACATGGCCTATGTTGGCACACACATGGCCTATGTTGACACCCATATGGCCTATGTTGACACCCACATGGCCTATGTTGACACCCACATGGTCTATGTTGACACCCACATGGCCTATGTTGACACCCACATGGCCTATGTTGACACACACACATGGCCTATGTTGACACACACATGGCCTATGTTGACACCCCACATGGGCTATGTTGACACCCACATGGCCTATGTTGACACCCACATGGCCTATGTTGACACCCACATGGCCTATGTTGACACCCACATGGCCTATGTTGACACCCACATGGTCTATGTTGACACCCACATGGCCTATGTTGACACCCCACATGGCCTATGTTGACACCCACATGGCCTATGTTGACACCCCACATGGCCTGTGTTGACACCCACATGGCCTATGTTGACACCCCACATGGCCAATGTTGACACCCACATGGCCTATGTTGACACCCACATGGCCTATGTTGACACCCACATGGCTATGTTGACACCCACATGGCCTATGTTGACACCCACATGGCCTATGTTGACACCCACATGGCCTATGTTGACACCCACATGGTCTATGTTGACACCCACATGGCCTATGTTGACACCCACATGGCCTATGTTGACACCCACATGGCCTATGTAGACACCCACATGGTCTATGTTGACACCCACATGGCCTATGTTGACACCCACATGGCCTATGTTGACAACAATTGATTAAAGACGTCACTACAAAATTGAACATGATTGTCTGGTTCTAAATAACAGAAAAAATACAGCATACATTAATGAGTTGCCTTCCTCTATTTTTGTAGATACAAAATAAATCAAACTTGACTTAACTTGACCTAACTTGACCTAACTTGACTTAACTTGACTTAACTTGACCTAACGTGACCTAACTTGACTTAACTTGACCTAACTTGACTTAACTTGACCTAACGTGACCTAACTTGACCTAACTTGACCTAACTTGACTTAACTTGACCTAACGTGACCTAACTTGACTTAACTTGACGATCTAACTTGACCTGACATGATCTAACTTTATACGGCAAAATCTCAGACAAAATACACACAAAAATCAGATATTTTAAAAACTTTTTACATTTTAAAACCTGTAGAACAAAATTCGAAACTACACACTATCAAGTCCAATTACGTGCTGTGAACCTGTAAGGCTGGCACCAGGTGCTGGCACTGGTTGAGGGCCAAATAGCTCACAAGTTCACAAGAACAGTCTTATCTACGTAATAATCCTGGCACTCAGTTTACCTGGAGTATACCTGGAGTGGGTTCTGGGAGTTCCTGTACTCCAACCTGATCTACTCCCAGATCTCACATAATGGCATTATCAATTATGTGGTTGATTTGAAAGGTGTGTGTGTTACTAATTGTTGGTCTATGTCAAATTGTTGGTCCGCTTCGCCCAGGTCATATGTGTGTGATTTTTTCTTCAGTATGGTGTCGGCCGAGCGGGCAGCACGCTGGGCTTGTGATCCTGTGGTTCTGGGTTCGATCCCAGGCGCCGGCGAGAAACAATGGGCAGAGTTTCTTTCACCCTATGAACCTGTCACCTAGCAGTAAAATAGGTACCTGGGTGTTAGTCAGCTGTCACGGGCTGCTTCCTGGGGGGGTGGAGGCCTGGTCGAGGACCGGGCCGCGGGGACACTAAAGCCCCGAAATCATCTCAAGATAACCTCAGTATGGTACATTGTGCTGAGAGAATCGACTTGAGAATGGTCCAGGACGGACCGAAACGTCGTCGTCCCTTCACCTTGTAGTGTGTGGTGTGGTCAACATTGTGTTCTGTGTCAGTGGTGTTAAGTATGTTGAATGGTTCCGTATTGTCTTGGGTTTCTTTAGAAGTGTGAGGCTTTGAACTGTTTCTTTATTTTCTTAGTTAAGAGTGAGAGTGGAGTAGAGTTTGTGAGTGTGATCATCTACTGGTACTCACCTAGTTGTGCTTGCAGGGGTTGAGCTCTGGCTCTTTGGTCCCGCCTCTCAACTGTCAATCAACAGGTGTACAGATTCCTGAGCCTATTGGGCTCTATCATATCTACATTTGAAACTGTGTATGGAGTCAGCCTCCACCACATTACTACTTAATGCTATTTATGTGTTAACTACTCTGACACTGAAAAAAAATCTTTCTAATGTGTCTGTGGCTCATTTGGGTACTAAGTTTCCACCTGTGTCCCCTTGTTCGTGTTCCACCCGTGCTGAAGAGTGTCTTTTCTCTACCCTGTCAATTCCCCTGAGAATTTTGTAGGTTATCATGTCTTCCCTTACTCGTAGGGAAGTGCCTTCCCTTTCCTCGTAGCTCATACCTCTCAGTTCCAGGAGTAGTCTGGTGGCATACCTCTGAATCTTCTCTAGCTTTGTCTTGTGTTTAACTAGGTATGGACTCCAGGCAGGAGCTGCATACTCCAGGATTGGTCTGACATAAGTGGTATACAGGGTCCTGAACGATTCCTTACACAAGTTTCTAAAGGCAATTCTTATGTTGGCTAACCTAGCATATGCAGCTGATGATATTATTTTGATGTGGGCCTATGGGGACAGGTTCGGTGTGATCAACCCTTCGCCTAATTTCATTACTTTACACTTTCCTGAGTTGAACTTTAGCAGCCATTTTCTAGACCATTCCTCCAGTTCGTCCAAGTCGTCCTGTAGTCTTTGTCTATCTTTATCTGTCTTGATTCTTCTCATAATTTTTGCATCATCAGCAAACATTGAGAGGAATGTGTCTATACCCTCTGGAAGATCGTTTACACATATTAGAAACAGGATGGGTCCAAGTACAGAGCCCTGTGACGTCTGGTGACTCCGCTGGTGACATCTCGCCACTCTGATGTCTCCCCCCTCACAGTTTCTCGCTGTTTCCTGTTGCTTAGATACTCCCTTATCCACTAGAGCACCTTACCTTTTACTCCTGCCTGTTGCTCCAACTTTTATAACAGCCTTTTATGGGGTACTGTCTCAAAGATTTTTTGACAGTCCAAGAAAATGCAGTCTGCTCACCCTTCTCTTTCTTACCTGATTTTTGTTGCTTGGTCATAGAATTCTATTAAACCTGTGAGGCACGATTTACCATCTCTGAACCCATGTTGGTGGTGTGTTACAAAGCTATTTCCCTCCAGATGCTCTACGAGCCTTTTCCTCACAATCTTCTCCATCACCTTGCATGGTATACAAGTTAGGGAAACTGGCCTGTAGGTCAGTGCCTCTTGCCTGTCACCCTTCTTGTATATTGGGACTACATTAGCTGTCTTCCAGCTTTCCGGAAGGTCTCCTGTTTCCAGTGACCTGTTATACACCATAGAGAGTGGCACACTTAATGCCTCTGCGCCTTCTTTTAGTATCTAAGGTGAGATTCTGTCGGGCCCAACAGCCTTTGTCACATTCAGCTCCAACAGATTATTTTTGACCTCATCACTGGTGAGGTCAAATTCCTCCAAGGTTGCTTGGTTTGCCTCCTCCTCATTAAGTGCAGGGGCTTCTCCTTGTTCTATTGTGAAGACCTCCTGGATTCTCTTGTTGAGTTCTTCACACACCTCCTTGTCATTCTCTGTATATCTGTTTTCCCCTTTTCTCAGTTTCATCACTTGTTCCTTCACTGCTGTTTTCCTCCTGATGTGGCTGTGGAGCAGTTTTGGTTGGGTCTTAGCTTTACTCACGATAACATTTTCATACTGTCTCTCTCTGCTTCCCTCCTCACTCTGAGGTACTCATTTCTGGCCCTTTGGTATCTCTCCCTGCTCTCTGGTGTTCTGTTATTCCTATAGTTTCTCCATGTTCTTTTACTCACTTGCTTCGCTACGTTACATTCCTGGTTGATCCATGGATTCTTCTGTTGCTCTTCGCTTTTCTCCTTCTGGACCGGGATAAACCTATGTGTGCACTCACCATGTTGTGCTTGCGGGGGTTGAGCTCTGGCTCTTTGGTCCGCCTCTCAACTGTCAATCAACTGGTGTACAGGTTCCTGAACCTATTGGCTCAGGAACATGTACCTGAGCCTATACAACTGTGTGTGTGTGTGCGTGTGTGTGTGTGTGTGTGTGTGTGTGTGTGTGTGTGTGTGTGTGTGTGTGTGTGTGTGTGTGTGTGTGTGTGTGTGTGTGTGGTGTGGTGGTGACGATACTCTTGCATCAGCGCCCCACGTGTGGCAGGAGAAGGCTTGGCAAAACACCAATCTATCCCCCCTCCCCCACCCACCACCCCCCCCCCTCCCCCCACCCCACCAGACACCCCCCCCCCTACCCCCTTGAAACTACACCTTGATCATTTGTCTTCAAGGAAGATGCCTATCGCCCCCTTACTCCCCACCTGTCTGGTAGGCAACTGTCGTCAGAGTCTTTGAAGTTTGTACTAGTTAAGAGACAAGGGCTCAGTCCCCTTAAGGGCGCGGGCCTATAAATGGTTTCCGCTCTTACATTATGTCGAGTTAATGAGCCCATTCTTTAGCCTATTTTTTTTCTTGTCTGTTTCTTGGCTGGTAGGTTAAGTTAGGTGAATTTATTACACAAAATTTGTTTAAAAATTTACCTCTGTGTGTGTGTGTGTGTGTGTGTGTGTGTGTGTGTGTGTGTGTGTGTGTGTGTGTGTGTGTGTGTGTGTGTGTATACTCACCTAATTGTTCTTGCGGGGGTTGAGCTTTGGCTCTTTTGTCCCACCTCTCAACTGTCTATCAACTGGTGTACAGGTTCCTGAGCCTACTGGGCTCTATCAGTAGGGCGCGCGTGTGTGTGTGTGTGTGTGTGTGTGTGTGTGTGTGTGTGTGTGTGTGTGTGTGTGTGTGTGTGTGTGTGTGTGTGTGTGTGAGGCAGTAACTACAGGAGAGCGAGGTCTAGCTTAATTGCCTTGTTCTATCTGCTACGTTTAATTTGAATCTTCTGACATTCGAATTCTATGTCGATTCTGGTCTTAAAGTTATGGATGGAATTGGTCTCTAAAACTTCTTTCAGGTCATTCCACTTGTTATCACCCGTACACGGTATTGTTATCACCCGTACACGGTATTGTTATCACCCGTACAAGGTATTGTTATCACCCGTACAAGGTATTGTTATTGTTGTCACCCGTACAAGTACACCCGTACAAGGTATTGTTATCACACCCGTACAAGGTATTGTTATCACCCGTACAAGGTATTGTTGTATCACCCGTACAAGGTATTGTTATCACCCGTACAAGGTATTGTTATCACCCGTACAAGGTATTGTTATCACCCGTACAAGGTATTGTTATCACCCGTACAAGGTATTGTTATCACCCGTACAAGGTATTGTTATCACCCGTACAAGGTATTGTTATCACCCGTACAAGGTATTGTTCATCACCCGTACAAGGTAGGTTATCACCCGTACAAGGTATTGTTATCACCCGTACCCCGTACAAGGTATTGTTATCACCCGTACACGGTATTGTTATCACCCGTACACGGTATTGTTATCACCCGTACAAGGTATTGTTATCACCCGTACAAGGTATTGTTATCACCCGTACAAGGTATTGTTATCACCCGTACAAGGTATTGTTATCACCCGTACAAGGTATTGTTATCACCCGTACAAGGTATTGTTATCACCCGTACAAGGTATCACCCGGACAAGGTATTGTTATCACCGTATCACCCGTACAAGGTATTGTATCACCCGTACAAGGTATTGTATCACCCCGTTTGTTATCACCCGTACAAGGTATCACCCGTACAAGGTATTGTTTATCACCCGTACAAGGTATTGTTATCACCCGTACAAGGTATTGTTATCACCCGTACAAGGTATTGTTATCACCCGTACAAGTATTGTTATCACCCGTACAAGGTATTGTTATCACCCGTACAAGGTATTGTTATCACCCAAGGTACACCCGTACAAGGTATTGTTATCACCCGTACAAGGTATTGTTATCACCCGTACAAGGTATTGTTATCACCCGTACAAGGTATTGTTATCACCCGTACAAGGTATTGTTATCACCCGTACAAGGTATTGTTATCACCCGTACACGGTATTGTTATCACCCGTACAAGGTATTGTTATCACCCGTACACGGTATTGTTATCACCCGTACACACCCGTACAAGGTATTGTTATCACCCGTACAAGGTATTGTTATCACCCGTACAAGGTATTGTTATCACCCGTACACGGTATTGTTATCACCCGTACAAGGTATTGTTATCACCCGTACAAGGTATTGTTATCACCCGTACAAGGTATTGTTATCACCCGTACAAGGTATTGTTATCACCCGTACAAGTTATCACCCGTATTGTTATCACCCGTACAAGGTATTGTTATCACCCGTACAAGGTATTGTTATCACCCGTACAAGGTATGTTATCACCCGTACAAGGTATTGTTATCACCCGTACAAGGTATTGTTATCACCCGTACAAGGTATTGTTATCACCCGTACAAGGTATTGTTATCACCCGTACAAGGTATTGTTATCACCCGTACACGGTATTGTTATCACCCGTACACGGTATTGTTATCACCCGTACAAGGTATTGTTCTCACCCGTACAAGGTATTGTTATCACCCGTACAAGGTATTGTTATCACCCGTACAAGGTATTGTTATCACCCGTACAAGGTATTAGTATTTCCATATATTTTTCTTACTCATCTGCGTTTCCAGCCTCCACTTATCATCTTGTGCTAATAATGACCCAACCACACATCAGAAGATGGAGAAGCCACGACGTTTCGGTCTATCTTAGACCATTTTTAGGTCGTATGTGTCTTGGTAATGGTCCAGGACGGTCCGGACGGTCCAGGACGGTCCGGACGGTCCAGGACGGTCCGGGACGGTCCAGGACGGTCCAGGACGATCCAGGCGGTCCAGGACGGTCCCGGACGGTCCAGGACGGTCCGGGACGGTCCAGGACGGTCCAGGACGATCCAGGCGGTCCAGGACGGTCCGGACGGTTCAGGACGGGCCGGAACGGTCCAGGACGGTCCGGGACGGTCCGGGACGGTCCGGGACGGTCCAGGACGGTCCAGGACAGTCCGGGACGATCAGGACGGTCCGGGACGGACCGAAACGTCGTCGTCTCTTCATCTTCTGGTGTGTGGTTTATCTTCACATCTCCAGCCACGTTACTCTGAGGCTTGTCCTACTTTTTCTTAATTTCTGTCCATCTTGATTCCCCCTTAGTACCTTGTATATCGTGATCATATCCCCCCTCCCCTGCTTGTGCCATCCACTAAGCTACTGAGACCCAATTCCCTTAACTTTTCCTCACAGCTTAACCCTCTTGACTCTGGCACGCATTTTGCGTCACACCTCGATTTTTACGATTAGGGTTATATGCTTCGTAAGCTGGGGATTCCATGCCGGTGCTGCGTATTCCAGGCCGGTGCTGCGTATTCCAGTATCGGTCTAACCGTTGTCTGATGTAGGTTTCTAATGACGTCCCATTTCGATCGTATTCGTTACTTAACGCCAAAAATTGTCGTGCTAGAAAATGGACTAGCTGGCGAAAGTGTAGTGCTGTCTCGTTTTCTGTTTTAGGTCCTCTGGCAGGTTAGGAGAGGACATTTTTGACCGTTTTCTTGATGTTGGGAACCTTAGGAGGACGGGCTGGGTAGTGAGCATGGATCACACAAACCACTGGGTGATTAAGCCACGTGAGAAAGGCTGGACCAGTGAATCAACTTGATATTAGCAGATCATTCCTCTTGGATTGAATGAGAATTGAAACACGCGAAAGATGGTGTCAATATTTATTTTACGTCAAATATATTCAATACCATCTTGGAGGTATGTACAATACCATCTTGGAGTGAAATACAATACCATCTTGCAGGGAAATACAATACCAGCTTGGAAGGAAATACAATACCAGCTTGGAGGGAAATACAATACCATCTTGGAGGAAAATACAATATCATCTTGGAGGGAAATACAATACCATCTTGGAGGAAAATACAATATCATCTTGCAGGGAAATACAATACCATCTTGGAGTGAAATACAATACCAGCTTGGAAGGAAATACAATGCCAGCTTGGAAGGAAATACAATGCCAGCTTGGAAGGAAATACAATACCAGCTTGGAAGGAAATACAATACCATCTTGGAAGGAAATACAATGCCAGCTTGGAAGGAAATACAATACCAGCTTGGAAGGAAATACAATGCCAGCTTGGAAGGAAATACAATACCAGCTTGGAAGGAAATACAATGCCAGCTTGGAAGGAAATACAATGCCAGCTTGGAAGGAAATACAATACCAGCTTGGAAGGAAATACAATACCATCTTGGAAGGAAATACAATACCATCCTGGAAGTATGTACAATTCCATCTTGGAGGGAAATACAATACCATCTTGGAGGGAGGTAGATGGATGACCGAGAATGGGGTTGTTTGCCAGTGTTTCAACACCACACAGCAACACCACACAACTACACTACACCAGAAGAGGTCAAATCCTCGTGACAAACTATTGTCAAATAACACCATCTTTACTGGTATTGAGTAATGGAAATAATAGATAATCTTTCTGTTTATATTTATTCCTCCCAAGATTATACAAAATTTATCTCAGTATTATACTTTTGACAAAGTTAATAAAGTGAGGAAGTTATTGTTTTAGAGTTTCTGTTAACCAGTAAATATATTTCTTGCAAATGGAATGAAAAATCTCGTTTCAATGAAAATGTAAGAATTTGTAGTAGATAGGTTGTAATGTGTATAGATGTGACAAAGGTTGTAACGTGTATAGATGTGACAAAGGTTGTAACGTGTATAGATGTGACAAAGGTTGTAATGTGTATAGATGTGACAAAGGTTGTAACGTGTATAGATGTGACAAAGGTTGTAATGTGTATAGATGTGACAAAGGTTGTAACGTGTATAGATGTGACAAAGGTTGTAACGTGTATAGATGTGACAAAGGTTGTAACGTGTATAGATGTGACAAAGGTTGTAATGTGTATAGATGTGACAAAGGTTGTAACATGTATAGGTGTGACAAAGTTTGGTAAAGTGTAAGTTGATGGGTTAAGTAGTTGATGTGGACTCTTGTAAGCCCTGTGAGAGGCCCCAGACACTTTATTTATTGTGGGTTGAACAGAATGTTATGTTATTGTTGTTATGTTCGTTCTGTGGTGGTTGTGGGGACGAGCAGTGTGTTGTGAGGGCGGTGGGGGAGCACCTCAGTCAAGCCATCACTGAAGAGAAGCTCATTCATCAGTGTGATGACTTGGATTTTAAACTGCATTTTTCTCCGTGCATCCAAGAGCTTCATGTCAGGCAGGAGACTATGGAGGAAGTGGAGGTCCCCGTCCATGGTCTCCGGAGCAGCCTGGTCTCCACAAGGCAACACGGAGTTAGTGGATGGAGGTGTTGATGGAGTCGCTACTTCAGGAGACCTGGAACCATTGTAGTATCCCTGCTGGTTGCCATCGTAACAATCGCTGGGCTCGACAACATTGGCGTAATCTCCTGCGTCCGGATCTTCTTTGATTATTTCTACCTTGTAATCTCCACTTCTCGTGTACTTATCCACACACAACACTGTTTCTCTTCCCACCTTCTCCCTTCTCTCTCCTTCCTGCGAAGCGTTCAAGAGACTCATTGGTCCGTCGAGGGCCGCCGGGCGAGCCAATCTGCCTCGGATATATGGGACGACGAAGCTCATATGAGGAAACATGTAATATGGCTTCAGCTTCCTGCCGTTGGCGCCGTGAGCCGCGCTCCTCAAGTATCGACACAGCGAGAGGCGAAGGTTCTTCCATCGCTCCCTACAGTTAGCGCCTGTGTGCAGGAAATACAGGAATTAGTGGATTACGAATGGATATCTAAGGTTTGGGCTTAGTGTTGCATGTTTTGCCCGAAACGCTGTGCGTATTAGTGGCTTTTGGCGTGGTATATACAAGTTCTATCTACAAATCCAACATTCTGTTTGTAACTCATTTTATATGTATTTTTACTTGGATGAACATTAATATTTTTAATAATGGAGGGTTATTAAGGTCACTACAAAGCTTACTGAAAAACTATCTTCTTTGGGCTTGAAGCCCGTCTTTCAACTCTTGGAGGCTAGAGAGTTGGGCTACCCATAAGATAAGGCTACCCAGTACCTCAATGACCTACCAGTAAGAGTAATACCGCCTAGGGGATGGGTATGTGGGTCCACTACCCTCCACGGGATAGCCGTGAGGTGTATAATTAAAAACCAAATCAAACAACGTAGACAAGTGAAGAGTACCCGTGTCATTGAGGAGCTCAGCGATGGCCTCCCAGACCTGGTCTTGCCTGTGCTTGTTGGCGTAGTCCGGTAGGTCCGTCCTGTACAGCACCTGGTGCTGCTCCACCAGCTGCGCCAGCTGGATATTCCTCTCCTGCTCTTCTTTACCCATTCTCTTGCTCTCACTAAATGAAAACGTCGCCTACAGGGACTCAGAATACAGGTTAAAAACGGGGAAAATGTTATCGATAGCACTCTGGCGCTGATGATAAAACACTACTGAAACACGAGCAGTTGGGAAACGTTTTCTGTGGCCCGGCAGAGAGCGGGAAAACATGTCTTATGTAGGGGGGCGCGTGTCTTTTGTAAATATATGTGTTTTCGGCTGACTGGAGACCGGGAGCCATATTTTTTAGTTCAAAAATCGGTATTAATTTTTTCTGGTGGTGGTGACAAGCAGCGCTGAAACACGGGAGCAGCTGGAAGCGTTTCTGTAGGTAGGGAGAGGGCGGGAAACATGTATCTGGCAGTGGTGTTTCCTGCCCCACATGTGCCGGGTTTTTCATCCTAACTTCGATTTCTCGCTGCTGAAAACTGAGGACATGTATTAGCTCAGTTTAGGCTGTGATAGGCTCCGTTGGGTTAGGTTAGGCAGAATTTCGGGTCAAGAGGCTGTTAATCACCAGAGGATTAACTCTCTCTCTCTCTCTCTCTCTCTCTCTCTCTCTCTCTCTCTCTCTCTCTCTCTCTCTCTCTCTCTCTCTCTCTCTCTCTCTCTCTCTCTCTCTCCCTTCAGTCTGACTCCATCACCTTATTCTCTTGTCATTTATTCTCCCATTTGGTGCCTTATACCTAGCCTTCTGCCCCCTTCTAGCTTAATCTCTTTGCATTTACTTGAGTTAAACTCTAGAACCCATCTGTTAGACCCTTCAGTCTCTAACAAATGTCATCAAAAGACATCAAAAGTCTCTAGCTTGTGATGTCTTTATCGGTCTTAAGTCTCCTCATAACATTGAGGGGAATATGAGTCTGTCTTCTATTGACATGATTTAGAGATGTGTCCCACATATTGTGCGGACGGGTATGTAGCACCCGACTACGATAAGGTCCAGAATTCATGCTTTTTAGTCTGTTCTGGGAGAGATAGAGAGAAATTGAAATAAGTTTATTGAGGTAAAATACACACAAAGGGATCATAGCTTTAGAGAATAGCTTGAGGTAGCTCAAGCTATTCTCACCCCGTTAGAGAGATAGAGGGAGGAAGAGAGAGGGAGGGAGAGGGAGTGAGATGGAATGAGGGAAGGAGAGAGACGATAAAAGATGTGTTGAGAAGCACATTCCAGGGGTGTGCAGGTGTGTATGTAAATTCAATAAACTATCATGAATAATTGACTGGATTGAGGTGGGAGTTGTGTGGGTGTCCCTGTGTCCCTCTCTCCCTTTCCCTTCTCTCTCCCTCCCTCTCTCTCTCTCTCTCCCTCCAGCAGGCTGAGGGGTGTGAGAGAAGGTGAGGGGTCAGTGGTACACTTCCTCTCCCCCCCCCCCTCTCAGTGAGAGACTGCAAGGAATGTAGAGAAACAAAGCAACAACCAATAGACAACAGAATTCATGGTGTAAAACAAGAATTACAAAAAAAAAAAGTCAAAAACCTATTGCAATTTTTGTGTAAAATTTGTAATCCAGTTTTAAATATTGAAATTGAAAAATACTGCATTAATAAATGTGTACACATTTAAATTTTACACAAATTTACAGTAAATTGTCACATTGTAAATCCGTGGCCCATTATTTACGTATGAATGAAGGAACCTATAGTTAAATAATTATAACTTTAGAACACTTTTCCCATCAGGAGACTCGAACCCTAGCCAGCACAGAAGCCTCACAGCAACTGGCATAACAGGTACGCCTTTATCCCACTACACCAAACTCAGACCCTTAAAAGAGATGGTTATCTTATCTTGAGGTTATCTTGAGATGATTTCGGGGCTCTTTAGTGTCCCCGCGGCCCGGTCCTCGACCAGTCCTCCACCCCCAGGAAGCAGCCCGTGACAGCTGACTAACTCCCAGGTACCTATTTGCTGCTAGGTAACAGGGGCATTCAGGGTGAAAGAAACTTTGCCCATTTGTTTCTGCCTCGTGCGGGAATCGAACCCGCGCCACAGAATTACGAGTCCTGCGCGCTATCCGCCAGGCTACGATAATGGTAATTTCAGGGTTCCCCCCCCCTCCCCCCTATTTATTTAAATAATTATATATACATCAAATATGGTTAGCCTGCTACAACGTCAAATATACAACTGTTTTGCCTCGTTAAAAACACACGAACGCTTCCACCTCATCCGGCCAATCGAGGCCGGATGCAGAGTAAACGTCAGTTTTACGGTGCTTGAAATCTTTACTAGTACGCCACATTTTTAACGGATTGGTCTATTTCGTCAGTAATGCGACGTGTTATAGGTGAGAGCGGCGGGTATGGCATCATCGAGGTATGTGCTCGGTGGCTGTGTTGGTCACAGAGCACTATCACCTCCGGTTTCCTCCGTACCCGCATTTCTTGATACGCACTCTGTCTTTTTATGTGTTTTTCTCTCTCTTTCTCCCTCCCGAGAGTGAAGAGGGAGAGAGAGAGAGAGATAAACGGCGATAAGGCATCAAGAAATGAGACAACGAAGAAGACCAAGGGATAATACGGAACGAAAGGAGAGGAGGCACTAGAGAGGAGACAAGAAGGAAGACAAAAGAGAGGTAGAAGGAAGAAAGGGTACCAGAGAAGTCCTTTCCCCCTCTCCTCCCCTCCTCTCCACCCTCGTCGGCACTGCCAGAGCCCAAGAGTCACAGCTCAACACTAGCAGCGTTCCCAGTCTCCTCTTTAGGGTGCCGGGAGGAGAGAGTCCGAATAAAGGTGAACTGTCAGGGGAGCAGAGTTCCCATTGACCCGCTGGACTGTGGTTGGTGGGAGGGGGCATAGGGGAAGAGGGGGTGAGGGAAGAGGGGCCAGGGGGGGGGGGAAGAGGGGGGGGAGGATTGGGGGCCGTCTAAAGCTTGTAACCTCAGTTTATAAGGTCACTTGAGACCATTTTTTCGTGAAGACACAAGCCAAGATTCTGGAAAAATGTGTAATTATGTTGCCATGTTTGGCCCCCCCCCCCCTTGTATGTGCATTTATTGATCGCTGGTGATCCTGGGTACGGTTATAGTGGGCGGGGATGGGGGGCGTGGCCTGCGGGGGGAGCCGCCCCCCTCTTCCTGCAGTGAAGGTCGGCTTCCTCCCTGCCAGGGACAAGATGACGGTTCTATATCACCACAGTATTAATTTGTAAACTAGTTTAGTGGTTAGGGGGTTAAGTAGTTGGTGGTGAACTAGGGGGTAACTCCTTCCAGGTACCTATTTACTGCTAGGTGAACAGGGTAATCAGGGTGATAGAAACTCTGGCCATTTGTTTCCGCCTCCACCGGGGATTGAACCCGGAACCTCAGGATACCTTAATTATCTGTGGACACTTTAACTACCTGTGGACACCTTAACTACCCGATCCTGTGATCCTGTGGTCCTGGGTTCGATCCCAGGCGCCGGCGAGAAACAATGGGCAGAGTTTCTTTCACCCTATGTCCCTGTTACCTAGCAGTAAAATAGGTACCTGGGTGTTAGTCAGCTGTCACGGGCTGCTTCCTGGGGGTGGAGGCCTGGTCGAGGACCGGGCCGCGGGGACACTAAAGCCCCGAAATCATCTCAAGATAACCCGTGGACAGAATAATAGAGTTAAGGAGGCAGTGAGGTTTTTGGCAGAGAAATGGAGAGGTTCGAAAGGAAGGGGGGGGGGGGGTGTTGGGGTTGGGAGGGGGAGGATTCAGATCTGAATGGTTTGACTGACAGTAAGTTGCCCAATCGCTCTCATCTAGTTGTACTTCCTTTAGGGGGGATAAACTGCGGCTCTTGGGTCCCGCCTCACAACTTTTAACCGAGTGGTGTATACAGGTTCAAGAGACAGAGCCGAGTTGGTTGACTGATAAAGATTAAGCTACCCAAGAGGTGGCACGGGCATGAATAGCCCGTAGAGATGAGTTCGGTCATATCTACATATGTAAAGCTGGGTATGGAGTCTGCCAACACACGGGAGACATCTCCCGTCACGCAGGGTGCAGTCGCATCTCCACTGATCTCCAGTATCAGCTAATGATACTGGTAATGGCTCAAAAGTGCCATCACTTACGTGCTATTCATGCCCGTGCCACATTTTGGGTGGCTTAATTCATGCCCGTGCCACCTTTTGGGTGGCTTAATCTTCATCAATCAATCAGTCTTCCAACACCACCTCGCTTCTGAAGCTGACACACTAAGCTGACTAAGTATTTACAGTGTCTCTTCAGACTCATTTCTTGACTCTCTCTCCACCTGTGTTCCCTTGTTCGTGTACTATACCTGTTTAAAAAGAGTCTTGTCCTTGTCTAGCCTGTCCTTTCGCTAGAGTATTTTGTGTATGGTAATCATGTCTCCCTGTTTCTTCCGGATGTGCCCAGACTTTAAGGTACAGTTGTAATGGAGTATTCTGTGGGAGGGAATACTTAGAGTTAGACAGCTGCTACGGGCTGCTTCCTGGGGGTGTGTAACAAAAAGGAGGCCTGGTCGAGGACCGGGCCGCGGGGACGCTAAGCCCCGAAATCATCTCAAGATAAAGATAGGTGTGTGTTCCTAACCCTAACAGACTTAACTTTGCTTCAGGAGGGTGAGGTGGGGGGGGGGGGGAGCGAGGGAATTATCAGGGGAACACGCCAAGCCATTACGACTATATAGCACTGGGAAGGGGTCAGGATAAGGATTTGGGATGGGACGGGAGGAAAGGAATTGTGCCCAACCACTTGTGGACGGTCGGGGATTGAACTCCGACCTGCATGAAGCGAGACCGTCGCTCTACCGTGCAGCCCAAGTGGTTGGACGGGGGGGGGTGAGATGGCCAGACTTTTCTTGCTCAAGTTGTCTTACAGATTTAGCCGTGGCACTCGTGCAAGTCTTGGCCTCAACCACTTGGGCTGGACGGTAGGGCGACGGTCTCGCTTCATGCAGGTCGGCGTTCAATCCCCCGAGACCGTCCACAAGTGATTGGGGCACCATTCCTTTCCCCCCGTC